ATGATTCTAGCAGAGTTGACAGGAGCACCATCAGACACCAGGGGCTCCAAACAGACACTAGGGGGCTCCAAACAGACACCAAGGGGCTCCAAACAGACACCAGTGGGCTCCAAACAGACACCAGGGGGCTCCAAACAGACACCAAGGGACTCCAAACAGACACCAGGGGGCTCCAAACAGCAGACACCAGTGGGGTCCAAACAGACACCAGAGAACTCCAAGCAGACACCAAGTGAGGTCCAAACAGACACCAGGAGCTCCAAACAGACACCAGGGGCTCCAAACAGACACCAGAATCCCAAACGAACACCAGGGGGCTCCAAACAGACACCAGTGGGGTCCAAACCCAAAGACACCAAGAAGTCCAAACCCAGACACCAGGGGCTCAGAAACCAGATTACCAGGGGCTCCAAACCAGACACCAGGGGGCTCCAAGCAGACACCAGGGAAACCAAAACTGAATACCAGTGGAGCTCCAGTGTATCCTTTACAGCACGTCCTTAAGCCAATCGTCAGTGAATCACCAACCTAACAATCCATTAAACCAATCAAACCTACAGAATCATAAACCAACCCCCCCCTTACCCTCTCTCTCCATCATCTCTCTCTCTCTCTCTCTCTCTCTACCTCTCTCTCTCTCTCCCATCATCTCTCTCTCTCTCTCTCTCTCTCTCTCCTCCCCATCATCTCTCCTCTCTCTCCCCCACCCTTCTCTCTCCCATCCACTCTCTCTCTCTCTCTCTCTCTCTCTAGTAAACAAATTATCCTCACCTGACTAATCATTCAGGTTAATGTTAATTGAGAGACAGTTTAATGGACAGGTAAATATTAACATCTATTTCTTGGTTAATGTAATATCCCACGTGTCGGAAATTACCTGGAAATACAAGTGATTGAGAGAGAGATATATGTGTCAGAGAGATTTATGAGAGAACCGGAGAGAGAGAGAGAGAGAGAGAGAGAGAGACAGAGACAGAGAGAGAGAGAAAGACAGAGAGAGACGAAAGGAATAACAAGATTGGTATTGTGTGTTTATTTATTATCCATATCATACTCATCTACTTCTTCTTCACATCTTTATCACATCACCTCCATCTCCCTCCATCCTCCTCACATCTTCCTCCACATCCTCCTCCACACACACCTCCACATCCTCCTCATCTTCCTCCACATCCTCCTCCACATCCTCCCCAACCCTATAAAGTCTCTCGTAGATGACCTGAAATCTTCCGTGTCAACCCTACACGATGACGCCCTCTTTGGTATCAGCTGATCGACCACAACAAACACTCATGGCCATTCATGTGCTGGAGAGATGCTTGATAGGAAGGAGGAGGAGGAAGGAAGGAAGAGAAGGAGGAAAAAAGAGGAGGAGGGAACATTAGAAGTGAAGAATGGACAAGTGTCGTGTCCTGTAAAAGTAGCAGCAGTAGCAGGAGAGTAGCCTGCAGTAGGGCGATGTCTAACATTTCATCTCACCCGTAACACTAAGTAGCAGTCGCAAGAGGAAAGTTAGGTATCAGTTTAGAGAGAGAGAGAGAGAGAGAGAGAGAGAGAGAGGGGCCAGTAGTCAGAGTGTTACGTCCGGGTATCTTATCAGTGGTGGCCAGCCCCAGGGGCACCCCACCTCCATAATGCCATGTTGACAGCCATTCACAGCCCAGGTGACAAATATTACACATAAATTTTCATCCGACTCTTTACAAACACTATGGCTACCAAACAATGTCACGCGGGGCCGCCGAAGACCCTCTGGGCGTATTGAGACCCTTCCTGGAACATCTGTGAATCACCCTAAAGACCCTTGATCATAAGGGTCATTCTCCTCGTGGCTACAGGAGGTTGGGTTTAAGTCTCCTCTGGCTTGTAAATCAAGTTAAATAATAATGATCACAGTGTCAGCCAAGTTCAAGCCTTTCGTGTCCTTGTTCCAGGGTCCATTGTTCCGCGGCCCTGGACCATCATCCAGGAGGTGGTCAGGGCCTTGCAGGAGCCCCCAACCCAGGGAGGATTCTTGCAGGTGCGGTTCATGTCCTTCAGGCTCCGGGACCTTTACTATACTTGTGCCTTGGTCAGAGTCTCACGGTCAGAGGGACAAGGAAACCTTTTATTAATACGACTGTCTCTCCTCTCCTCTCCTCTCTCTCTCTCTCTCTCTCTCTCTCTCTCGCTTTATCTCTCACAGGGACTTCTCCTCCTCCTGTCTCTCACAATCATTGTTTTTTTTATGACTATCTCTCTCCTCCTGTCCGTGAGGCAGGAGTGTCCGTGAGGCAGGAGTGTCCGTGAAGCAGGAGTGTCCGTGAGGCAGGAGTGTCCGTGAAGCAGGAGTGTCCGTGAGGCAGGAGTGTCCGTGAGGCAGGAGTGTCCGTGAAGCAGGAGTGTCTGTGAGGCAGGAGTGTCTGTGAAGTAGAGTGTCTGTGAGGCAGGAGTGCCTGTGAGGCAGGAGTGCAGGCAGGTGAGTGCTGTGAGGTAGGAGGCCCTGAAGCAGGAGGTCTCAGAAGCAGGAGTGTCTGTGAGGCAGAGTGTCTGTGAGGGTAGGAATGTCTGTGAAGCAGGAGGTCTGTGGGGCAGGCAGGAATGTCCGTGAAGCAGGAGTGTCTGTAAGGCAGGAGTGTCCGTGAGGCAGGAGTGTCCGTGAAGCAGGAGTGTCCGTAAGGCAGGAGTGTCCGTGAGGCAGGAGTGTCCGTGAAGCAGGAGTGGCCGTACTAACCAGCATCAGGTGCCTCCATACAACAAGGACACACTCTTTATCATGCCATTTAAGTACGAGCATTATAAACTAGGTTGATTACTTCCATTGTGGTGGTGGTGGTGGTAGGCGGCATCAGCGATCGTGTGTGTGTGTGTGTGTGTGTGTGTGTGTGTGTGTGTGTGTGTGTGTGTGGTTATTCTTTAAGTCAGGTGAAGGATATTCCAAGAATCCCTAATTAATCCTTACGTGAGATAACCTCCTAACACTTTTAATATCCTATTGAGAAGGATGTTGTTGTTTCTTGTTGTTGTTGTTGTTGTTGTTGTTGTTGATGTTGTTATTGTTGTTATTATTATTTTGTTTTGTTGATGTCGTTATTGTTATTTTGTTGTTGTTGTTATTATCATTATCATCACAACCGTAGCTCATAGGAAGATACAGAAGACGATAAAAAAGAAAGAATGAAAGAAACTGAAATAAGTAGACACACAAATACACACTCCAGTAAATAAAAACAATTACAAACAACAACAACAAAACCTGAGAGAAGAAGAAGGATCCTGCCGACGTTTTGATATCCTGAAGAAGGATACGGAAGAAGGATGAAGGATAATTAGTATTCTCCTCGCGAACACTGGAATAATATCCTTAATATCCTACACAAGGACTTGCTGAAGGGTGGCAGTCTATAGGAATCCTTTTTTGAGATCCTATTGTGGTTCTTTCATATTTAACATCCTTCGAAGTAGCTGTTAAATATCCTAACATCCTATTTTGAGAGTTTAAAGGATGGAATTTGATCCGAGACATCGCCCCGCCCCGAATCCTTGGAGATATGCCACAGAAAAGTCCTCAGTGCCCCTGGGGGAATGATAGCCACCACGGAAGGATTCATTATAATATCCTACATAAACTCATAAAAAAAGAAATGCTGCTCAGAATTATGAGTTATAGGAGGCGGGAGGCTTAATCCAGGCAGACGGCTCAGATAAAGCCATCATGCACACGGTCCATCGCCTACTGCCCGGACCTGTAAACCTGTACACAATGTCCTGCCCTCGGCCCAACAACCTGTTATGTTCTCCTCCACCTGGAAGGCCATTTTCACCATTAAAACCAGGCGTCGTAAGCGTGGAAGTCTCCCTAGAGGTCGGCCGGGTCTTCGGGACGATTCGTTTCGTGTGGGGAAAGTGTTAGAATCGGGGGCATAAAGTGGTAGATACAACGTTGAAGAGGATGGGATTAGCGACCTTGTGATGAGAGGACGTTTGAGTCGGTTTCCCCTTGGCTTCTGGGGAGGAATTATGGCGTAATACAAAACCCCAAGGCAAAGCCCCGGCCGCCAAAATCCAGTCGTGTTCAATAGAGGGAAGGTGGAATAGCCTTATAATCCGCAAGGCGTTGTGAAGACGGTGAAATAAACGCGGCGGGTCTCTCTCTCTCTCTCTCTCTCTCTCTCTCTCTCTCTCTCTCTCTCTTTCTCTCTCTCTCTCTCTCTCACGTCTTCATCGTCACCTGGTAGGAGTGTTTATGTGTCCAGGTCTCCTTCGTCGACCATCTCTCGTCAGGCGGTGAAGGAGGGTAACAGGTTTCTCTAATCACCGATGCCGAATACGGAAGCTGCCACAATTGGTTCACTTGGTTGAGTGTGTGTGAGGACGATGATCTGGCCAGGTAGTTCACAACTTAATGATCTGATATAGGTGGAACTTTCCTCACCCCTTGAGTATAATAGTCTAGGTGATATTGGTTTGACCTTGAATAGAAGTGAACTAAGGTCAGGTTAGGTTAGGTTAAGGTCACAATACCGCCAAGTACAGAGTATTTTAGTGTATGCAAAAAACATTATGTACAAACTGAAATGAAACTTTGGTCACTAATGGGATAAATTAGTTACCGTTTCGTTATATTTAGATGAAGGTCCAAACTGCAATGATAAAGATCAAGGCCACAGCGAGGGGTCAAGGTCACAGCAAGGGGTCAAGATAGGGTCGCTAACAACTCTCTGGTCTCAGCATAAGTGAAAAATAAACCTATATAACAATTATTTACCGAAGAAGGACTACTGTATATTCCATTTATTTTTTAGCCTATTATTCGAGTCAGTTCAGCTTAACAAAACAGCTTCAGGTCAGTCCTTCAGGTACCAGAGAGAGCATAAGTAAACACAGCCACTACCGAACACATCAGCCAACACCCATAGAAAAGAAGCTCCAACAACAGGTGATTTTTTTCCCCAGGTGAGACAACAAACTCCCAAAAAGATCCCCACAGGTAGAATAATATCTCTCCATTGAGACTAAACCTAACCTAACCACACTTCGTTTACCTTCACTTAGCTTCTATTTAACTTAGAGGTTATAGACGTTATTGGTACATACAGTATCAGTTGGTTAGTCTTGTTGGTCATAGATTCACCTGGGATATACAAAAGGTCGCTGTACTAGGCAGGATCGAGCCATCTCAAGACCCGGCGGGGCTGTATAAGACAACAATGGAACGTCCCGAGCACCAGTACACTAAGAGGATCTCATCGCAGTGGGCGGATTAAGACCCCTTTTTGGATGCTGAGTTACGATGCGTAAATCACTTGTCCTGAGCCATTTGCCAGGGGGAGAAGGGGGGGAGGGACGATGACGATTTAAGTCACTTATATTTTGAGTTAATTATCTCTATACAAGCAACGTCGACGAGGAAGAATCCGGCGGTAATTCTTGCTATTCACTTTGCGTGTTTGTTCGCATCTAGAGTCTGCCATGGTGGGAAAATGTGGGGCGTAAATCGGGAGAGACTCTCACTGTGGCGTAAA